CGAAGCTCACGAGCGGTCAGCCAGTTGCTCTCTCTCGCCACCCAGCAACCCAGTGACCCAGGCTCCGAGGCAACTGCCTGCCAGACTCGTGTGAAAGTGGCGCCGCCGTCACACGAAAACACGAGCGGAGGTCGGTGTGGCCACGAAGCGAGCCGAGCAGGAGATCTCGTCTTCGGCCGGCGCTATGAAGCGGTCTCCCAGAACTGCCCAATTCCACATCGTCCAGCCGGAATCACACCCATTGCATCGTGGGGGCCACGAAATGTGTCTGGAGCAGATTCAGGAGTCACCCTCTCCGGCTTGTGTCTGAGAAACTGCCCTACCCGCAACAGAACCGCATCAAAGTGTGAAGAAAAATTGGGTTTCGAGGAATCTCTAAAACTTACATTTTGAGTGGAAGTGTTGGGTGAAAAGATTCGAAGGTTGGTTCCACCAGATGACGACATTCTTGCTGACGTTGTTTCCGAGGCAATCTGCTTCGATTCAGGTGAAAAGGTGCAAAGCTTTTGTACGTCATTTGACGAGCATCATCAGATCATTGAGGGTATCATCGTCACAACCAAATTAAAGCTAACGAATCAAGAAAAGTTGACTTTTCTTGTGAATTTAGGAAATTGGGTCGGAGAAGATTTTCGATTTGCTAAGGCCAAGCCTTAATCGGCAATCGGTTAGACTCTATTTGAGATGCAGTACTCTCGAAAGTCTACTTATACGAAAAATTGGTTAGAATTTATTCCTCTTTCGGTCGTTTCGCATGCTTTACAAGTTGTCAACTTATCTTTTTTTGACTTGTTAGCTTGCATTTGGTTGTGACGATGGTACCCTCGATGCTCTGATGATGCTTGTCAAATGGAGGATGGAAGCGTAGCACCTTCGCTCCGGAATCGAAGCAGATTGCCTCGGCAACAGCCTCAGCAAGAATATTCCAGTAAAGTAACTCGACAGCTGATCAAAAGGACTGGTTAGCCGACCTTCGAATCTCTTGACCCAACAATTTCTCTCGAAATGTAAGTAGGCTCAACACATTAAATTGGATATGAAGAGAAAGTGGGTTGCGACAAATCCTCTGAAATAAGTGGCCATTTGAGCTTGTTTT